AGAACTTAGCTGCCAACATTCCACATAGCTGATGGAAGCCATTGTACAGTTCCAGTACTGCTTTTGAGCACTGGGTATTAGACTGCTGTTTATTTTAATTTAATTGTCTTAATTTAGCAGAGTATATGCCACTTGTATTTTATTATTATATTTTGGTATTTGTTGATTACTAATATTTTAAACAATTGATTTGGTTGTTGTTATATGATATCCTGACTGTATACTACCCAGAGAGTGCTTGTTCACTAATATGGCAGTATAAAAATATAATAAACAAACTTATTTTATTCTTCCATTGCCCCTTCTTTTCTTCTTAGCATTGGTTACAGTTAAACATTTCACAATGAAGTGGCCACTGTTTCATGAGTAGACGGCCCAGTTTTACAAGGCTAATATTTTTTACTCTAACCAAGAAAAAAGCCATGTTGTCTGACTACAATAGGAGATGAAGTTCTACAAAGTATCCTAACTTGTAATATAAGGCATTATTTTGTACCATAAGAAGCCCACAAAGTTGAAAAACATCATTTGGATTTTCTGACATACTTAATTCAAAATAATAATAAAAAATGATCAGGGATTAGGTAGGTCCAGTAGATTCTCTCTAGCAAGGAACTATTGTCTATTACTGAGTAGAATTTCAAAAGGGAAGGAGGGGAAATCATTTTCTTGAGATTTACAAAAACAATACTTTTAGATAGCAAGATATAATTTAATAATGATCTATCAGTGATTACACTGACAAACAGAAGGATGACATCATAAACCAGGGGAAAAGTTAATTAAGGATCCTAAACCAGCTGGCACTTATGTTGCATAGACAACATTATATAAAACAAGTCACAATGGGTGTGTGTGTTGTATAATTATCCACCTACTTCCAATACTCCGCTTCTAACCTTGCTGTAAAATAATTCCATAGCCCTATAGAAGATGGGATTAAACTGAATTAAAGGTTTCCTTAAACTCACTGCCAGTCAACCTCATCATGAACTTTCATTATGTGCATGCAATTAATTGGATCCAATGAACAGTTTCAGAACTGAGTTATAGCCTCCCCCTTACCATATAATTAGAATATAATTACCCACAGGATATCAGAAAGATGCAAAACCTTTCTTCTAAATGCACCCTCATTAGGAAACAAATCTCAATGTACATTTCTTTGATCAGTGTGAATTAATTAAAATGCTACAGAAATAAGTGGATAGCCATAAACTGAATCTGACATCTATTTAAAAGGCTATCACTTGAGATCCGCATGCAGTTTGTAACTGACATAATTTCATTTGCATCACCAAAGTTCACCATAAAACACATTACAAACTATATATATGCACAGAGTTCCCCCTTGAATAACTTTTGTTACAGGTAAAACATTGTCTTCTTTTAGTGTTTCTTGCAGTCCTTATGGGGAAATATAATTATTATTCTGTTCTGAATAGCTAGCATAAAGATAGCAGGGATGAACAAGGCTATGTAGAAATACTTTCCCTGTATCCTAAAGTTTGTTTTAGGCTTTCTTCCATGTGAACAATCATAGAGTTCAGCTGAGAACGGAGAAGGCAAACATCAAACATACAAGGAACAAATCTTTTGGAGTATGTTCCGACACCATAAGTAAGCAAGCTTTGAAAAGAAACACACAGCAAGGGGAGATTTTGCAAACACTAAAAACTAGATTGTGTATACACAAGAAATACACTAGATTGTGTAAAAAAAGAACACTAGATTGAAAAAGCTAAATGCAGCAAGAGCAAACTTAATGTGTTGAACGTAAGAAAGCTATAAAGAATAAAATGTTAAGAAGTACAAAGAAAGAAGTTTATTATGTTATCTATTATAACCTGTGGTAATAGGTTAATTATACTATTATTAAAAGGATCTAAATTGTTGTGGACTTAAAAAATTCCAATAACCAGTGGAGACTGCAGCAGCCAAGAAAGAAACCTCACGTTGGAGGAAGAAAGGAAGGGAAATGTCAGTACATACCAAGTCTAGGGCAAGCATATGCTTAGAAGAATCTGGGATTACAAAAACTGAATATAACTCAGCTATCTCCCGAATAGGACCCAAGGTGGCTTACAGTATTAAAACAAATACTATGAAGAGCTTTAACAAAAGAATTTTGTACGGCATAGAAAAAGAGAGAGTTAAACAGGTGTTTAAAAACTAATAGGTAAAAACAGTTGTAATTTTTAAAAAAAAAAATTAAAACATTAAAAACATCAAAAAGAAGAAATTAATTTAAGAGCCCCCTTCTCAGGCAGCCAGTCACCAAAATAATTCAAATTTCATGTTATCCCTAATCAATTGGACAAAAAAGGAAACTATATTTAAAAAGACTTCATGCTTGGAAAGTAAGTATTCCTCTCATGAGCACAACGGTTAAAATATAGGCCTTTGCATTTCAAATGACGGAAGATGTTAATGAACCGGAAGATTTAACAGAGAGCTGTGAGGGGTAACAAACACAGTAGATAAACAACATGATAAAGAGCTTTTAAAATGCATTCATATTTTATCCATAAAAAATGGGGGGGGGGGATAAGTCACATGGATCATGTGAGACCTGCAAGAAATGTTGTAGTGTATCCCTATTCTCTAGACACATAGCTTCTATCTGAGCCTGAAGTGGCACCTCCCTAAAACACTGCTTATCCCAAAGGCAAAAAGTTCAGTGAAACAAGCTAAATCAGGAGTTTTTCCTACAACAGGTTCCATCCAGCTTGCAATGTCATCTCTTGAAACCTCAGCATGACAGGAACCCTGATAATACAAGGTTCCTAATTTCACTGAAAAAAATGAAAGTGAAAACATGTAAAAGTCCCTTCCAGACTTTGCTGTTCAACAGGGAAGACAAAAGGACAGCGAGAACAAGAAGGGGGGGAGGGCATGTGCACATCCTTCCTCTTGTGTGCAACCAAAGTACCTCTATTTTTTCATGGCAAAATGACCACCAAGCTACATACATTGTGTAATATGATTGCTGTGTTACCACAGCATGTCCTGAAGTGTTGATTCCATTATTCAATGTGTATTGAAAAAGGAAATACAGTTAACGGGCATTTGCACAACCATATCAATATTTGTAGTACAGACACTAAATAAATTACGAAGTTGTTAGAAGCAGTCATTGTGATGAGGAAGAGTTTTGTGCTGAATGAAGTCTGAGTGTAAGAGCAAGAGCTTTGAGGTAGTTAGCTAAAAGCTGTGCTGAAGACTGTACCTGTTTGTGTGAGTGTGAAGGAGCTATGGAAATATCGGCTAAAATCCTGTTCGCTCTGCTAAGCTGTGCAATGGATGGTGTCAGCAGCCATGACTGCACCACAGCCATTTCAGGGTGATTCAAAATGTCTTTGTCCCCAACCCCAGGTTCCAGGGACCCCTAGGGATCCTCCATTTGTCCTGTGGAACCCTCTGAGAGCCACAGATGAGGGTCGGGAATGATTTAAAGCTTGAAAATCAGTGATGCCCTGGGTCTGCTCCTGCTTCCATAGTGTGCAGTCATGGACTCCCTATGTATACATGCATATGTTTTCAATATTGAACCTTCTTATTCTTTTGGTTTCTACTCAATACTGTATTTTTTTCATTATAAATCCTGTTTATTATTTTTAAACATTAGCAGTCACAAGATATTATACCATACATATTACCAGTCAGCTCTGAAGCATTACTTCTCCACTGTTCCTATGAGGAGATGTGGAGGGACCTCACAAGACCACGTCTTGTTTTAGAATGCCTTATTTTCTTTTGCTATGTTCAAACTAGGCCTGAAGGACAAACAATTTCAGCAGTCTCAGCAAAGGATTGCTGCTAACTTTATATTTGTGTACAATGCATTGTTAACCTGCAGATTTTACTATAGGAAGTTGTGTTGGCTGTCATAAGTTTACACTGCTTTTAAAAAGGACTAGATAAATCCAAGGAGAATTCAGAGTTCCCAGTGGATACATTTCCGCCTGCATTATCATCAATATGGAAGATAACAAGAACTTAAATGTAAAGTCATTGTTAAGAGAAAACACTGGCATCAGTTTTGAACTTCACAGAGTTTACATTAAGGTCATGATTGCTTCTCAACATCAAGATTTTCCTCTTCTTTTCACTCCAAAGCCTGCTAAGGAGCTGTATCATTGTTATTAATGCTATTTATGGCTAAAGAATGTTTGCACTTTAGAAAGGCATATTGTCTTGACAAATATATGAGCCACTAGCATTCTGTACCTCCACAAGTCCTTTTAAAAAATCATGAAATATTATGTTTGGTGATCCAACAGCCTCGAGGTTCTTTTGTGCTTAAAGAATACAAGACAAAACCAAGAATCAGTCTGCATCTATTATAGAAGTCAAGCAAGTGCTAGATGGCAAGAGACCACAATTACAAAGAGGTTACAATCCTATACAACTCCTTTCCATCAGTCTCTGACCATATAAAAACCATTCTAAGCATGCTTATTTCTTTCCAAAATTGAAGGGTGGTTGGGTTGGGTATACATAACATGCATAGCCATCTTCACAATTTATTTTCGAAGACCTCTACCTTGAAGCAGTTCTGTGTAGCACTGTTTGCAGGCAATGGATCTGCATCGCTATTTTCATAGTGAAATTGTCTTTGTAGACAAGAGAAATTTACTGCTCAGTCTTACAGCAGAAAACATAATGTTGATGCATAGCTTGCTGCAAGGCCAATGCATCATTTTAGGTAACCTCCGGCTGAGATCAGAGCCCTCGGCACTGCAAATATATAATGTGCATCCCAAGCAAAACATGCCCATAAGAATAACTTCATTATTCTGGGAAGCTAGATCTATAAAAGAGGTAAGATGCATAAGTATTCTGCCTATATAATTTCTGGTAAATTGAATATGACTGAGTGATTAAAACTAAAGACAGATTCAGCTACAGCAGAAGCAGCAATCTTCAAACAGCCATGTAGACTTTAGAAGTCTGTAGTTTGAAAAGTATTCTTTGACAATGGATAAAGAAGAACTTACCAATACTGCTGGGCAAATTGATGTGGGTGGTAGAACATGATCCTTCAGAGGGCCACAGTCACATTCAGGTTTTAGGTGTGAAGCACATTTGTTATGCAGCTACAAAGAAACAGAGCAATATCACTGAAGATTTAAAATAAAGAGTTCATGAATATGAATGCACTGAAACATTCACCCTCCAAAATAATACAGATTTGAGAAATATATTTGGAAGTCTGAAGAATCAATCTTATCTTGGACAGGAATTGTTTTGCTTTGATCCCATGGAGAAGACATGGTATGAGAGGAACAAATCACACTGGTAGTGTTTATGAAAGGAGATGGTTAAAAAATTTCTTTCATCCCACTTTATAAAACCCTGTGATGATTCTGCGGGATGACTCTTCAGTCCTTGGGGAAATGTGTAAAGAAGGAGAAGGATGGCTAGTAGGGATGTGCATGGTGAATATTTCCATACTACTTTCATGTTGGGTTCTTTCAAGGGGTGGTTCTTTATTTTTATTTCATTTTTGCCTTTAATTTTTATATGAAAGGGAAAGACTTTTTTGCATCTTCATCTTGTGCTTCTTATTTGTCTTTTCTGGCACTCCAAAAAATCCTTTAAAAAGCTTTTTAAAACTACTCCAAAAATCAGAGGCAGGGTGACAGAAAATCAATCTATTCCAAAAGCAGGCAACAGTACATGAGAAAGGAAAAAATATTATTTAGCCATAAGAAAAGGATACAAGCATGGGGAAAGTCTATTCTGGCTTGGCCAGAATAGAAGAAGAAAAAAACAAAAATACTTGGTAGAGATTCTAGGGATTGTTGTCCTTTTATAGTAACCCTTCTATAGTGGCATTAAGAAGTAGTAGCTAGGTTTAAACTCTTAAAAGGTGTCAAGGAGGTATATGTGACCAACTAAGGCGTATGTGACCTTCTAGTGTGAAAAGTATTAGAAAAAACATTATCTCCCCAGGAAGTAAGGTTGCCTATACTACTGTGAAAAAAACTGAGTCAAGAAAGCAAAATATAATCAGTTCATAAGCAGCCCAAACTACTAAGATATGGGAAGATTTATCTCCTCACTACCAGCTCATGCCACCTCTTCTCTCCTTTGAGTCCTGTAGACAGCAGCAGGCAGGCCAAGCGGACAACAGCAAAAATAACCCAAAGAAACTGGGGGAAAGGACCAGAAAAAAAGTAAGGCAAAAAAAAGGCAAAAAAGTAAAGAACTGAAGATAGAGGCAGGCAGGCAGAGGCAACTCTCCAAGACTGAGGGCACCAGGAACTCAGCACACAGTAACACCACCCACAAGAAACAAACAGAGCAAAAAAAAGCATTTCTTACTGGCTTCCAGACCCTCCTATGATTCCAAAATTCCTACTCTACTCTCCTGGACATTCTGATTGGCTGCTGACAGCCCTCTCACAATGATGTTGCACAAAAAATTTCTCAGGCAATTTGACAGACCGTGGATGACATAATGATTACATGAAAGCACATGAAACCTTTACTGTCACTCTTCCATAATACCCATATCTTTCGTAATTAAGAGGCTATCTTTTAGCAATCAACAGAAGAACATGAATTACATGGAAAAATGCTTCTTTCAGATTTTGGATCTTTTCTTAAAACATGAAAAGCCCATCCCCACTAGTAACTGATTTTCAAAAAGCATGAACATCTACATCTTCCACTCCCTGATCCCCAGTTTGAGTACTTATTGCTTCTTGGTAAAGATGGCTGGATATATACAGTATAACCTTTTTGCTCAATGAAGAGGCAACCTTTTTTTACAAAATTCCTTTGATTATATGCTACTGTTCTTTCAACTCAGAAGCCCATAATAAAAATTTAGCCATCTGTTTTGTAATCCATTCATTTCCTTTCCCTTAAGTATTCAAAATATACAGAATACTTGGGCCCACTCTGAATTTCCAAGTTACATGTAACTGATCAATAACTGAGTTCCTTTGGGTTCCCCATAATCTTCCTCCTTCCCTGAGCATTCCTTTAAATCTATAAATCCTTGCATGACTCACTCTGTGACATCCAAACCCAGAGCATTCCACTATTCAATTACAAATGGATTTCAGCTTGTCATTATATTCATTATTCTTCTTTTCAAGCCCTCATAAAGTTAAACTAGTGACATGAGACATAAGTGGAGAACATCAGAAGGATGGCATCTTAAACCTAAATTACGTGGAAATGACACTTGTTTACCAACATGAGATGAATAATTTAGCCAGAATATTAATTTCCCAGAGAATTAGCATAGATCCATGGCAATATTTTTGCCATCAGATGTTTTACTTAATGGCAAGTATCTTAAATTAAGCAAATTGTATAAAATTTAAATTATACAGTTTTAATTTGTACAGCGTGGCTTAATAGAGAGTACAAAAGTATTTTGTTCAACAGGTGATCTTATTCAATGGGCATGGTAATATATCTTGTCTAGCAGCTGTTTCAATAAATCACTGTTCTTTGGTTTGAGTGAATGATTCATTTTTCTTTATATAATTTATCCATGTTAGTATGAGTAGCATTAAACTTACAATATATGAGTTTAACTCTGTAACGTACACCTTTTGCCAATCATATGCTCTTTCGAGAAATATCAAGTGAAGGATAATTTGGCTACTACATTTCTGAATTTTAAAATGATTGGCACCTAATAGCACCTTGTCCATATTAATCATTGTGCAAAAATACCTTTTTCTGTCAGTTTCCTAGCAACAGAAAATAAAAGAGTAACAAATTCTTATTTCTTCCAAGCCTTGAAGCTTTATTGTGGGAGCATTTTGGTTGCCCTATAATCTAGAACATTTGTCATGCTAATTCCCTGCCTCAGTGGTCGAGCCACTTTTACCATAATTAATGCACAACAGGCCATGATACATCAAACAGAAGTATCTTCATATATTTGGTGATAATTAACAGTTCTGCTACTCTGTGGCATGCAATCAATAGCTTAATCTTCTTATTAGGCTGAGCTGATCTTTGACAAAGCAAGATGTAAAAGGAGTAGTTTCTGATATTGTAATTTTTCTAGAATGAATAATGAAATATTGTATTAAAACTTCTTTTTTAATCAGGAATGTGTTTTGTGAGCATGTAAAATTAGCTTTTTTCTATCAGACTTAATTAAAGGATCTGAAAATGTGTTACTATAGTGAGGAACAAGTATCAATGAGAAAATGTATATGAGAGCTCTCTTTTTTTGTAAGAGAAAGAATAATACTCCTTTAGGTAAATCAACAGCTGAGATGGGATGGTCACTGATTTTGAGAACTGTGGTCCAAAATCAGTGACCACTATCTACAGTATAATAATTAGGGTTGATAGAATTCTAAAGCAGCCATTCTCAATGGCCCTATGGCCCCCTGGGAGGCCCTGGCACACTTGAAGGAGGCTGGATTTAAAAATGGCGGATCTGATGTTGGCTCTTGCCTACATCTGCAATCACTTCTGACCTGAAATGTATTTGATATAATGCCAACATCCTGTATTTTACCAGCATCCTGAGGTCAGCAGAGATTCAACAGAAATTTGCACTGACAGGGATCAAAGAGTAGCTGTTTCTATATAAAAAGGTTGGAGGAATATATATTCCCAAAACATAATGTATGTATGTTGATGTTATTCTAGTATTATCTGTTTTGTTGCATTTTTTTTTTGCAAGATGTGGAGGGGGGAAAGCAGGGATCAAAGCGCTTTGATCCCTCCCCCTTACTTCCGTGTATAAGATGACCCTCAATTTTTACTCTATTTTAGGAAAAAGTATCATACAGTGGTGCCTCGCTTAACGATTACCTCATTAAACCACGAAACCGCTTGACGATGAAGGTTTTGCAATTGCTTTTGTGATCGCAAAACGATGTTTTAATGGTAAAAATTCGCTTAACGATGATCGGTTCCCTGCTTCGGGAACTGATTTTTCGCTAAATGATTATTTTGAAACAGCTGATCAGCGGCTCTAAAAAAATTGCCATCGGACCCACAGCTAATATTATTTCAATTAAAAGCCTTCTGGAACAGGATGGTTTTGACCTGGCACCAAAATGTCAACAGAGTCGGCGCCAGTCGAATCTCAGTCGGGAGGGCATTCCATAAACTGGGGGCAGCTGCCGAAAAGGCCCTTTGTCTACAAGCCGTCCCTCTTACCTCCTTAAGGAGGTATAAAATGACCCTCAATGTTTCCTTTAATTATTTTAAGAAAAAGTTTCATTTTATACAGAGAAAAATATGGTAAATAGTAATATAGTATAACTGGGCACTTAATTGTAGCTTGCAGAAAATTTAAAAGAAATAAATAAAAGACATTTAAATCCAAATCCTTACAGGATAAAAATTAAAATAAATATTTGCTATGTGTCTACAAATCATGTGTAACCTACAGCAATCGTAGCAGAGCTTTCAAGGTAGAGTCACGTGAAAAAGAAAGGACACCTTCTTTGAATTTTATGGTTTTACATAAAAAGACATAATAAAGATAATCTGGTCCTTAGCAAGTCAGAAAATTAAGTAAATTCAACCTCAGGTGAAAATTAATAAATGACATGACACCGTGTCATGATTTATTTAACAAAAATAAAACCAAAATGGAGAAGTCATGTGTGAAAAACTAAGAGCACCTTACTGCTTCCATAAGAATTAAGAGGCTAAATAGCAGTCAGGTGCTACTACCCAAAAGCCCTTAAGTCATTTATCCTCAGCAAGTGTGACCACCTCTATAAATGCCAAAGTTTTAGCATTTTGCTGGTCTGAAGCATTCAGGTTGTGTTAACATAATGCCAAGAAAGAAATACATCAGCAATGATCATAGAGAGGCAATTTCTGCTGGGAAGGGTTAGATGGCCATTTGCAAACAATTTAAAGTCCATCATACTAGAGTGAGGGATATTATTCACAAGTGGCAAACATTCAAAAGAGCTGCCAATCTTCCAAGCAAAATCACCCCAGGGTTAGATTGTGCAATGCTCAGAGAAATTGGCAAAACCCGAAGAGTTACATTTCCAACTCTACAGGCCACAGTCAGCATGCTAAATGTTAAAGTTCATGACAGTACAATTAGAAAAAGACAAAAAGGTATGGTTTGTTTGGAAGGGTT